TCAGCGAGCTTTAGTACCTCGCGTTGCTTGCTGAATCTCTCCTCTCCTCATCTCACTTCGAAAGCATCACCACAAGTAGGACCGTGTTTCCCGGGGACACAGACATCCGTCATCGTTTGATGAAGCCCGCCAGAGCCGTCTTACCCACCTGCCATATCGACTGCACGGTGCTCATGCAAGGCCCCCCTCTTCCTGCCCCGCTCCTCTGCCCAAGGAAAGAAAAATCCCCATCTCCCCTCAGCAGCTTTCCCCTCTCCTTTCCCCTTTCCCGCCTCCGAGATCAAGCTACGTAGGGTCCCTGAAGCAGTACAGGTTGGCGGAAACAAAGGTCCAAGGTCTACCCTCTGCTCTCTTTCTCAAATGTAACACCATGTTGCTCGGTGAATATGGCCCAACGAAGGCAGACCAGCTGCTCTCCGCCCAACGTCCTAAACCCCGATGGGGCTTAACGGTGGGGTTTTCCTCTTTTTGGAGCGCGGCGGGCGCTAATCGTCGAAGCTGTGGCTGAGCTCCCCTGCCGGTGCAGTCGGACCACTTATTGGAATGTGCGCTGACCGGGTCCCCCCACAAGGCCAACTCTTGCCCTGTCCAGGATAAGGAGCACAGACTCGTTTTGTTAAATAAAGAAAAGCAGAAGAAAAAAAGGGGTCCGCGGGGTATTGTGCCCCAATATCCAGATTAGCTTTTGTGGCATCGTCAATTCAACATTACAGTCCTAGGTTCCCTGTCAAGGGTCGTCCATTCAGCCCATCACACCGTGTCCAACCCATTCTAGCATTACCATATCGCCTTCCATTACAGAATCCAATCACCAGAATACACGGAGCCTTGCTTCGCCAGGTGGGTATAACAAATCGCAACGCGTCTAAACGAGGGTGGTGACAAAGTACGCCTTTTACATGAATACGCGGTAATCATCGCTGCTGTCCAGACGACTCCGAGGTCCTTTCTTCCCCACTGTGCCCACTTCTGTCATCCAGTCGGAGTTGTCTGATTCAAGGCCTGAGGAGTATCGCGCAAGCCCCTTTCCTTTGCCCAGCACTTCGCTACTCGCCCGAGACGATGCGTAGCCCGGCTGGGCGCCGGACGGACCCTGTTCCGCAGGAGAATTCCTGCTCCAGCGTCCCGTAGATATGGCATTGGAACTGGATGATCGTCGCCGAGACAACGACATTTGCTTTCCGGATCGGCTTTCCCTGCCGATTCTTGGCCCGCTGGAGTCTTTCTTGACAATGCTGAGAGGTCGAGGAGACATGGAAGACTGGTTTCTCAGGAAAGGAGAGGTCTGGGCCAGCTCAGCGTAGGCGATGCCCAGAGATTCCCTGGGTATTGTCTGCCAATTTTCCGTCCCCCGCGTTGAGGACTCCAGGGAGTCTGAGTCGCTGTCGAGGTTGTAGCGATTGCGGGACGGTACGACGGAGCGCCCGCCAAAGAAAGGGCTGGAGTCCGACTTCCTGCTGATAGGCCGACTCATCATGGACCCCGTCCACGACCCCGGCTGCGAATCTTGACGCCCCATTCTACCTCTTCCTGACCCGGACCGAGAGCTGCGAACGCTGTTCTGTGATCTAGAACTTAGCAAGGAGAATGTCCGCCTCGGCCTTTGAGCGGGAGAAAAGCGCCGGCCGTGGGTGGGATGCGACCCCAATGGTGTCGGCTGCTCAGGAATTGACGCCAGACTATCCGAGTGCGTAGCAGCCGAGAGTGGCGTTGACCTGTCGAGGACTAGTCTCGACGGCTCTCCCCATGGACTCGTGTAAGCCATATCTGGTGTTGCCTGGATGCTGCTTACTTCGTCATGCATCGAAGGGATAGTGACGTCCAGGGCGCTGCGGAAAGAGTCGTCTCGCTCACCCTGGAGGAAGCCGGAGGAACCAGAAAGGACATCGCTCGGACCGTCATATGTGCTTGTTGATCCTTGGTGCGCGTGTTGTGGTTGGAAGTAAACACCCTCGGTGAGCCATGACGACCCAAATGAGGGTGAGGTAGGCACACTCCTGTCGCTCCGAGGACTCCTCCAGTGTGACGAGTTGCGGTGAAGTGACTGGGAGATGCGGGAGCCGGTGATTGTTGAAAGCGTTCTCGACTGTCTCATCCTCGCCACTGCAGAGTTGAAGTATCCTCGGCTGCGACGGCTGTCTTCGGGCCTCTTGATGATCTCGACAATGGATGGATTGGACGTTTCCCGGCTGTGTCTGCTACCATTCCAAACAAAACTGCCAGGTACAGGCTCCGATATCTGACTCTTCTTCTGCTCGTGTATGGAGTCGCGTTGTCTCCTTCGTCGGCAGCAGATAATCAAGATCACTATGGCGAAAAGGAAAAGAATAGGAAGGAGCACCGCCAAGGCAATGAGCCCGGGATTCAACCCTCTTCTTGGATTTTCGCTTGCTGCGGACTTCGTAGGGCTGGCAGAAGGTGTCGGTTGCGCCGATGTGGTGGTCACAGCTGCCGACAAAATTTCAAGATCTGCAGCAACGGTCTCGGACTCTCCTGAGCTCTTCGAGGTGGCCTTGACGAGAAGCTTGGTGTTCTTCGGGGACGCAGACTTGGGGACTGTTCCTGTGATTTTGAGCCCATCAACCTCCACCCAATCTTGCGAGTTGCTGAGGCCCAATTCTACATCGGCTGGAGTCCATAAATAGGGCTCAACGTCAAATGAGAAGGCTTCCCCAGGCGTAACATCGAATTGGATTGTTGTGTTTCGGAATATTCGAGTCGTTATCAAGACAGACAACAAGATATCAAGAGTATCTTCGTAGACATCTCGAAACGTGAGCGTGGAATTCGAGGATTTTGCGTCGTCGGGAGGCGTGCCCTTCAGGACTAGCGTCGAATCATTGACCGAGAGCCAGCTCGGTAAGTTGGAAGTGGTGAGGTTCAGATCAGTCGGCGCAATAGATTTGCCGTCCAATTTGATGCTTTCGGCCAATGCTTCGTAAGATACTTCTTGCCCCGCCGTCGCGTTGATGTTGACGATGGGAGTATCAGTCGTCAGTTTGTGCGCGCCAACGACGATAGAGAACACGACTGAAACGGCCGAAAATCCTACAATGTCAGACCCAACAAGACTAAAGTCAAACTTTTGAGGCGGCTGAACCAAAGACTCGAATGGCGGAGTCTTTCCAGTGAACGTCAGACTGCCAGAGTCGAACTTGATCCATGAAGGCAGAGGGCTGTTATTTGCTGAAGTGGCGTAGTAGTTAATGCCGTTTCCCGTGTAGGAGAACGTGTCCTTGGCGAATGAGAAGGAAAAGTCGGAAGCAGGAGAGGCTACGACTGCAGATGGCGAAGAAGTGTCGCCAAATTGCTGGATTTGTTCGGATAGCGGAATCTTGACTGTTGGTGCCGGGTTCCTGGTCACCACGAGAGTAGCCGTCATTGTCGCCGAACCAGAGTCGTCTGTCGCAATGATATCTACGGGAACCCCAACTACCTCCCCGGACGCAACATCGGCATCTTGAGGCGTTCCTGACAGACGCCCGGTGCTGCTGTCGATTGAGAGCCATTTTGGTGCATCTCTTAGGCTGTAAGAGATTTGTGATTGAGAAGAAAAGGTTTGCGGTGAAAGAGTGTATGAAAATGGCTCGGATATCCTCGTCGCTGGTGGCAGCTGGGAATTGAATGGGAAGTAAACGACCGGAACTGCGCCTGTCCGCGCAGCTAGATGGAGTAGCAGTAGCACCCGCAGCATCCCAAATGAGGCCATGTCTGACGGGATGAGTGAAATGAGCGGCATCTGCGAGCCAAAGAAGCGGAAAACAACAACAAATTCAATGAGAGAATGGCATGGCAGACGAAGGTTATCTCGGCAGCAGAGACGGGAGAAGCACAGGACGATACCAGGAGAGGATACACTTGGCGCGAATCATATTGCCATGTTTTCCTGTCTGCCGGTGCTTGATGCCTCCCTTCGCGCCAGTGGTCGCGCCCTCGCAAAGGAGTCGCGAGTGAGCGCGCATCGCGCACACTAACGTTTCCCGTTCCATGTGGTTTCCGAAGGGCACTCGCCCTGTCTCCTACCGAACGGGGACAAGGACGAGCCTCGTTTCAGAGTGATGCGAGCTAAATCGCCATAATGGGAGGCTTAGGCGAGGAATATTCGATGTGTCCATTCCAGTGACAGGTTGAAGGCCTGGGAAGGGTGGTGAGAAAGACTTCATCTCGAAGGTCCGAGGGAGGCGGGATGAGACATATCCACTCGGGATGTTCACCTCCACGGTGGGTGGAATGCAACGCTGTGATCGCTGGCCCAGCTGAAGTCGTTTTGGAAGGTTCCAATAGTATGTATTGGACATGACATTCAGAAAGTCCAAGACGATACACGATCCGATGACGTTCAGTGTCACGGAGAAACGACGTGAAGTTGTCGACTGTAGAGTTATGTAAGCTGAGGAATGGCTCCAGTAGGAAGCTCTTGTCCAGTATCCCTAACGCGCTTTGGGTGAAAGCGCAGGGTGACTTTGCTATTCTCGCAGGGTGCGGCTTTCGAGCCAATCAGAGCCTTGTAATGGTAGTCGTCCCTTCCTAATACTGCCTCTCTCGCTACCTAGGTACAGTGCCTGGCCATCAGCAGTCACTACCCGCCCGCTAAGTCTACCTTACTGCCCTCTAGGTACGCAGCCCACATTTGTCCTCTGCGCTGCACTTGCCCTCTGTGCCAGCCCTCTACGCTTGGTTGTGCCTACATTTTGCGCCTGCCTTCTGCTGTAGGTCACATATGAGTCAAACTGAATAAATGGGCCCAGAAGCATATTCAAAGCCTTTGGTTGGCTTTCACCCCTGCTAAAGCGTGTGACTAATCTTTTAAATTCTGCTTCCACGTGACCGCGCCGTTAGAACTCCCGTCCACCTCACTGTAAGAAAAAACTGCCCCTCCGCCGACGATCGGCGCACAGCAGAATTCCCCTCTGGTGACACATCTTCCAAGTCAACACTTTCGATCTTGCAATTGTGTTCTACCGGCTCAGTACAACAAAACTTGCTGTCTCTCTGCCGCTATGGGGCTTCCTGATCCCACCATCGACCTTGACTGGGGCGGCTATGTTGGCGCCATCCACGAGATATTCCGCAAGAATGCTTTGAAGAATCCTGATGCGCCGTGCGTCACGGAAACAGCCTCCTCCACCACAAATGAGAGGAGATTCACCTACAAGCAGATTTATGAGGCGTCCAACATTTTGGCCAACCAGCTTCACGAAGCTGGCATCACCAATGGCGATGTCGTGATGATCTTTGCTTCTCGTTGCGTTGAACTCGTCATCGCCTTCATGGGAACCCTGGCTGCCGGTGCCACTGTTACCGTCCTGGACCCCGCATACCCCCCAGCGAGACAACAGATCTATCTCGAGGTCTCACAGCCCAAGGCTCTGATCACGATTGGCCGAGCCAGGGACGATCATGGTGATTTTGCGCCGCTTGTTCAGAAGTACATGGACGAGGAACTATCTCTCAAGATCCAAGTACCCGAGCTACGGATGAGCGATGATGGCCGCCTTACCGGTGGCGAGATTGACGGCAAGCAAGTCTTTACCGATACTGAAAGCAAAGCACAAGCGCCCCCGGATGTTCTGGTAGGGCCCGACTCAACAAGTATCTTGAGCTTTACCAGTGGCACAACATCAAGACCCAAGTCGAGCCCCCCGCAACTGTTGAAGCTTAGAAACTAGCTGACAATTCATAGGGGCGTGTTGGGCCGTCATTACAGCTTAGCCAAGTACTTCCCATGGATGGCTAAAACATTCAACTGGACCTCGGACACAAAGTTCGCTTGTCTGAGGTAGAGCCCCTTAAAGATGATGCCCGTCACAGCTCTGCTAACCAATTACAGTGGTATAAGCCATGATCCTATTCAGCGAGACATTTTCAGTCCGCTTTTCATGGGTGGAGAGCTGATTTGCCCTGCTCGAGAGAACATCGCCCACGAAAGGTTGGCTGAGTGGTTCCGTGATCACAAACCCAACGCGGTCCATTTGACACCCGCAATGGGGCAAATCTTGTGCGGCGGTGCTAAGGCAGAGTTCCCTTCATTGAAGTGGGTTCTCTACGTTGGTGATATTTTGACCAAGAAGGATTGCGCTTCGCTCCGCAAGCTGGCACCCAACGCGGAGATCTGTGCTGCCTATGGTACCACTGAGACGAGCCGCAGCGTGTCGTACTATCACATCAAGAGCCGCGCTGAAGATCCAGATGCGTTGGATAGATTGGGCGACATTATTCCTGCTGGAAGGGGCATTGAGAATGTCCAGCTTCTCGTAGTCAACCGCGAGGATCCTACCAAGCTTTGTGGCGTTGGAGAGGTTGGTGAGATCATGCTGAGAGCAGCAGGCTTGGCTGAGATAAGTCTCCCCCTTTCATGATAGAGTCCTGCTAACCTTCTGCTGCACGGATATCTGGATGACGAAGAGAAAACCAAGGAGAAGTTCCTCCAGAACTGGTTTGTCGACAACCAGAAATGGGTTGATGCCGATAACAAAGTCGCCGATCACGCTAAAGAGCCCTGGAGAAAGTACTACAAGGGCCCTCGAGACAGAATCTACAGGAGCGGCGACTTGGGGTACTTCTTGGACGACTCCGGTAACGCTGCCATTATAGGCAGAGCTGATGATCAAGTTAAAATTCGTGGCTTCCGAATTGAGCTTTCTGAGATCGACAGCAACTTGAGGGGACACGCCATCGTTCGCGAGTGCAAAACGCTGCTTCGAAGAGACCGGAACGAAGAGCCAACATTGGTCAGCTACATTGTGCCTGAACAGCAAGAATGGCTCAAATGGCTGGCAGAGCGCAACCTGGACGACACCAAGGACGAAGGCACTCAGATCGGACCCGTCTTCGTATATTCCAAGCGCTACCGGCCGTTGCAGACAGAGATTCGTGATCATCTCAAATCTCGATTGCCAGTTCAGGCCATCCCGACTTATTTTATCTTCTTGGACAAGATGCCTTTGAACCCGAACGGCAAGATTGACAGCCCAAACCTACCGTTCCCGGACGCGGCCCTGATCTCGCAAGAGACTTCAGAGGAGGATCTGAAGAGATGGGAAACGCTTAGCAGCACCGAAAAGGAACTGGCGGAGCAGTGGGCAACGCTGATCAGTGGTCTGAATGCGAGAACTTTGCAGCCTGAGTCAGATTTCTTTGAAAGTGGTGGGCACAGTCTGCTGGCCCAGCAGCTCCTTCTCAATATCCGCAAGCAACTTGGGGTCAACATGACCATCAGCTCGCTGTACTCGAACTCATCCCTCGGGGCTCTCAGCAAACAGATTGACCGCCAGCGTGACGGCAAGAACGTTTCGGACGCGACGGAGGAAACCGAAGCTGCATATGCCGAGTCACTCGACAAGCTGCTCGGTAGTCTCGATGCTAAGTACCAGACAGCGGACGCCGCAGCACTCTCGCCGCAAGGCAAGACAACCGTGTTTGTCACCGGCGCCACAGGCTTCTTGGGCTCCTACATTGTTAAGGACCTGCTCGCGCGTGAGAGTATAAATGTGATCGCCCATGTCCGTGGAACAAAGAGCGTCGCGGCTGCCCTCGAGCGGCTTCAGAGGTCACTTCGCGGATACGGCGTATGGCAGGATTCTTGGGCTGCTAGGCTTAGCGCAGTCATCGGTGACCTGGCCCAGCCGCGTCTTGGACTCGATGACGATACGTGGAATATGCTTGGCGACACTGTCGATGTGATTATCCATAATGGTGCCCTCGTTCACTGGGTAAAGCAGTATGAGCATCTCGAGCGCAGTAATGTTCTGTCAACACTCGATGCCCTGCGGCTGTGTAACCAGGGAAAGCCTAAGCTCTTCTCATTCATCAGCTCGACAAGCGTTCTGGATACGGACCACTATCTGGATTTATCACACGAACAGACCAAGACTGGACAAGGCGCTGTCATGGAGGCTGATGACATGATGGGCAGTCGCACCGGTCTCGGCACCGGATACGGCCAGTCCAAATGGGTAAGTAGCCTCCACAGACACTCTCTTCGCAAGTAACATCCGTTCTAACGCACCACAGGTCTCTGAACAGCTCGTCCGCGAGGCTGGCAGACGCGGCCTCCTTGGATCGATCATCCGACCTGGCTATATCCTTGGAGATGCTGCTACTGGTGTCTGCAATACCGACGACTTTCTTCTTCGCATGCTCAAGGGCTGCATCCAACTTTCCAGCCGTCCGCATATCATCAACACGATCAATGCTGTGCCTGTAGGCCACGTCTCTACCGTGGTTGTCGCAGCTTCCCTGAATCCTATCCCGGCTGGAACTGCGAATAGCGTCCGCAGCAGCAGCGATGACGTTGGCGTCCATGTTATCCATGTCACTGCCCATCCTCGCCTACGCATGAACGAGTATCTTTCTACCTTGAGCTTTTATGGCTTTGATGTTCCCGAGGTGGATTACGACGACTGGAAGGCCCAACTCGAGACCTTTGTCTCGGCAGGTCCCACCCAGAAAGACGAGCAACAGAGCGCCCTGATGCCTCTTTTCCACATGGCAACGAATGACCTCCCTAAAGACACCCGCGCGCCGGAACTTGACGATCGCAATGCTGTCGCTGTTCTCAAGGCCGATGCGGACCGGTGGACAGGTATTGACGAGAGTGCGGGAGATGGCATTAGTAGGGAATCGGTTGGCCGTTTCTTGAGATACCTCGTCGAAACCAATTTCTTGCCGCGCCCGACTGGACGGGGCAGGGAATTGCCGGCTATCAAAGATGGTGTTGTTGAGGCGCAAGCGAAATGGGGCGTTGGAGGACGTGGTGGTGCAGCGTGATGAGAGGCAAAGAGGACAAAACTCAAAATCTAGAAAGTGAGGACATGTTTCAATGGATGGAAGCGCCTGAGCTAAAGGAATAGACCTTGAAGAGAACTTACACCTGCTTCACTATGCTGCGAGTACCTAGTCTTTGAGTCCTCAAGGATTTCATAGTCGTGCAACTGTTTCCTGGATGAGCACCAGCTGGATCACATCCTCTAGGTACCGATGCCTACCTACTTAGATCAGCTTGTCAAGTTCTGGCCTACAGTGTGTATCCCATTTAAGTAACTGTGCGATGTTGCTTAGGTTTGAAATCACGCCAGACCGCCCTCAAACTCGAAGTAAAGCAGCGGCAGCTCAGGGTCGACGCTAGAAACAAACTTGGCGGCCGAGTGTGACTATCTTACTGAGGTAGGCACTGGACCTGAGGTAAAGCAAGCAAGCTCCTTCCACATCTTTCTCGGACGACCAGAGAAGGTGATGACTCGATGGGAAGTGTGGAACTTGCAACCAGAACCCGCCGCTGAGGACGGGACACTACACCAAGGGACCAATGTGAAAGTCGGGGCAACCCCGCTTGAGGCAAACGCACCTCCCCTTATCGGAAAGTCTAGATTGTCGTCGACCTCAGGAGAAAAAAAAAAGCCCAACAGAGACCAGCGATACCGCTCTTTTCTGCCTCAGATCTGCAAACGCCCAAAAGCACCACCTACCTTGAGAGAATTAAACGCGCTCTCAGCCTGCTCTACCTACAACTTTGCCTCCAGACGCACTCGACTTACCGTTGCATCATCCGTACTTACCCAGAAACAAACAATAGCATTATGAGAATTCTCAACAACCCTCTCATTCCAGAACAGATGGACTCCGCCGAGAGGTCTCCCTCGCCCGAGTTCTCGCCCTTGGCGATCGGCGAAGATCTCACCCCGCTACCCGCCTACAAGGCCGCACAAACCAACTCCTTCGACATCGCCGGCCTATTGTCCACTCCCCTCAAGCTCCACGAGGACCTCGCTTCGGGATGCGGAGGTCAAACCTGGCCCGCGGGCATGGTGTTGGCAAAGCACATGCTGCGTTACCACCGGGAAGCTCTGACCGGAGCCAGAATGTTGGTGACTCGGCCCCATTGCGCTCGCCACGTTTCCTAAGCAGGTCATCCCCGAGCTCGCGCTCGCCTACACTTTGCTGCAAATGCTGCTGCACTTGACTTGCCGGAACTTAACCGCATGCTAATGCGAGAGAACATGTTGTGGAAAGAAGTTGAGCTGACTCGTGGCTTTTCGGAGCAAATAGACTGGAGCTAGGTGCCGGCGGCGGACTCGTCGGTTTGGCTGTTGCTCTAGGTTGTGACCTGCAGCAAACGCCGCTGTACCTCACAGACCAAGACGAGATGTTCGAGCTCATGGGCAGGAACACCAAGCTGAATGGTCTTGATGGCAAGGTTAAGCCCATGATCCTGAATTGGTAAGTAATTTCCATTTACCTCCGATTCCAGCCGTGCGCATCCTTCCCCCAGACCATCAGCCCCAGACTTGGGACAAGTGAGAGGTGTCTGCCAGCGCTGAGGAGTTGCGCGTGCGCGGGAACCAGCAGCGTACCAAAGAGTTATGAAGCCAAAGACTTACGACTTGTCCCGGCTCACTCTGCTACTGCGCTGCGCTGCAATGCACAAGTCTAGGCACAAGCAGGCTGCGCATGCATTCCGGCTGATGAACGGATGACTGATGAACGACACAGGGGCGAGCCGTTATCACAAGAAGTAGTCGACTTCAAGCCGAATGTCATACTCGCAGCCGACTGCGTGTACTTTGAGCCCGCCTTCCCGCTTCTATTGGAGACATTGACAAATTTGCTGACGCTGGAGCCCGACGCGACCATCTACTTCTGTTTCAAGAAGAGGAGACGCGCCGACATGCAGTTTCTCAAGAAAGCACAGAAGGCGTTCCAAGTGACAGAAATCGTGGATGATGATCGCGCCATATTCAGCAGAGAAGGGCTGTTTCTGTACACCTTCGCCAGCAAGAAGCCGACCGCCAACGGTGCTCGACAGTAGTGAGCATTGACTGGCATCCTGTCATTGGCAAACCGTTCTCTTATTGGGAAAGACAGCATCAAGCGCCTGTTTCGCAAAGCTCTCGGGAGTCGGGATCTGAAAGCCTCGACTCGGGCCCAGGGATTTGCGCAGTGCGCCATGTCAAACAATGACTCGAAGTCGAAAGGCTACTTGACCTTGACAACTTTCGGTGTCACTTGCGCGCCGGAGTAGGTGTGCGGAGATTCATGAGTTTGTCCGTTGGCTCAGGGAAAAGGACAACATGAAAAACGATTGTTGTCTCCTTGCTTGCCCCGTTCGAGGATTCCAACCCACAGCCCAAGGCGGGGCGATGTCGTGTACTGCTCAGTGTCGTGGACATCTCTGAGAGGTCGCTGCACCGCGTCAGCTGACAGTTGATGCAGAGAGGGCCTATCATCAACGGCGTGGAAGAGACGCAATAATAGACGAATAGAGAATAGAGAAATAGAGGCTCATGTCAATCAAAAGAAGCTTTTTAGAGCACCACATGTCGTTGGATCCAACACGCATTTGATCTCCAGGAGTAGTGGAGAACTGGGCGGGTGGGCATACAAGATCTGGTCCCCAGGGTTCAGAGTTCAGATTTCAGACTCCGGACGATCATTTGATGGGACGGTTGGCTTTATCATAGCGCAATTACGAGAAGAGACGTGGACGAGAAAGCTGTGAGTAAAGGCCGAACGACGGCTCCAAGGAAAGCGAAATCAAGACTAGCCCGAGAATAGATCTCAGGAGTGAGAAGTAAGAACGGCCACCGAACAGGTGAGGGGTTTTCTGTGCCTTCCCCTTCACACAACTGCAGGCTGCTGCAAGCCATTAACGAATCAAGCATCAAGCCGCGAGTGGCCGAATGAAGATGCAATGCGGGAAAATCTCTGCGTGGTTGGCGCCGCGGTACGACGCCCACCCAACGTGCCAGCGTGTCAGCGGTGTCCACCAAACCACTGTAGGTTTGCAGGCACGAACAAGGAGCTATTAACTGCAGCGCAGAGGCTAGCCATTCGAATTTTTAGAAGGGAGAAAGTGATGTGGCATTGCCTGAATTGCCTGATCATCCGGGATCAGAGCCGGACAGGGGGAGAATGGGCTGTGAGGGTTGCGCCGGGCGGGGGCTTTCCACCGAGGCGTCGCTGTGATTGGCGCGTACCTTACATCTGCAAGGAACCCGTCGCCCAAGCCCGTTGTCTGGACCAGCTCGGGCGTTCGCCTTGGTCGCTTGAGGGCTGCCAGCCTGCTTCCTTCTGATTTCTCCTGCGCGGCACGGTTAGGTAACATCCCAAGTTGTCGACCAGTGTTTCTTTTTTCACGTTTCTCCTGGTGCGCCATCTGTCCAATGTTGCATCGCACATTGCAGCCGCCATGGCGCCGGCATGCTCAACCACGGTCTGCTGGGATCCTTCTCGCAGCGCGGCAACGGTTGCGCCTTCTTCCATGAGAGACAATTAACTAACACCGAGCCAGAATGCTGGCGCAGCAGGCGCAGGCCTCCCGCGGCACGGCACCTCACAATAAGGGAAGGTACTGTGTGTGCGCAGAGCATGGCGGTTGGCAGGCAGGTACCCGTCCTGGGCACCCCGGTGCCACCGGATGATCGTCATTCTTTTGTTTCCAGGATTCCTAGACGATGCGAGGGGAGGGGAGAAACGGTGTTCGGACCCTGGACCACCTACGTGCTACCTACCCCCTGGGCTGGGTCTCTCGGGGCTGGGCTGGCCGCCAGGGCCTTGGGTGAGGAGGAGGGGGGGGGGGGGGGGGGGGGGGAAGCTGGAGCGCACTTCCCAGTTTCCGCGTGTTTCAAGCACCAGCATCTCTCCGGCGGTTCATCCAATCATCAAGTATGGGTGGGAAGAAACAAGATGACATTATGACAGGCAACGACAAGCTTGGAATGAGACGGGAGCCCGGGAGACGAAGGCAAGAAGGCATTGACATGGGAAGAGGGAACGAGGCAATAGACGCGCAGCCCGGCCCAGTTCCAGCCCTGGAGCCGTGCCGTCAACCGCGCTGCAGCGGCAAATCCAAAAACAATTGGCAACTACGAAGCACGCGCAGACCTTGCGGTTACGCATGTGATGGGCCAGCATAACGAGTCAATTGCGAGATGGGAGCTCTCCAGACCCCGGCTTTTAATTGCCGTTCTTACGTTGGCAGGATACGTTACGCTGCCCCAGTCCGATCCATCCACCACTTCCCGATATCCAATACTCTGTATCCTCGACGGATGTGCGGCTAGAGTTCAACAACCAGTACTGTCTCTGACTCCCTGTACACGTTGCTGGTTCAATAGTTTGAGCGAAACGGCTGTCAAGTTGCGTTTCCTCGGCATCCATTTGCCTAATGTTTTCTCGGGTTGCGGTTGTCGTCCCTGGTTGCCTCAGCCCAAGTCGGTTTCGGGTTGGTCTGGCTGGCAAACATCCCATCTCCAACATCCTAATAAGCGGAGGCGTTCAAGCCCTGGAGAGCCAAGATGGGCCATGCCAGAAATGCGAACCCCAAGAGGCATCCTCTCCTCGTCTGCTTGCCTGATCTCGTGGCGTGCTTGGTGCCAGCGATGCCAGTCTGGAGCGAACGGGCTCGTGCTAGTGCCATCCAACGGGCTGTTCACGCCCCCTGGACTTGCTTCTTTCGTGTTGGTACGTTCTTTTTTCGGACCTCCAGCATCCAACGGTCCAGTGACGAGAGAGGTCGTCGAGGCAGTTTGTCTGCCTCTCCAAGTTGGTCCAGGGGGGTTGCAGGGACGGTTACCACTCAAGAATCCTGGTTTCCACGCCATGACAAGGCCCCGCTTTTGCTTTTTATTCCCTCTCGGGGCTTTTGCGAATTCTGTTGTCACTACCGCTAAGGCGGTGGCAGTGAGCGAGCGAGAGAGAGAGAGAGAGTGCGCAGTCAACCGCCCCGGAACCTGCAGCCCAGCCAAACAACACAACACGACCAGACAGGC